CAATCATTCCGTAGACATCCCAGAGCTTACGGCGATGCACTATGTTCAAGATTGTGTGGGAGCGTGCTTGGCCCTACTCAGATATCCCTCTTCCAAGTAGCGACATACTCAATGTTATCTTACCAGCTGATGACACAGAATCACGGTCGTTCATCGATGCAGTATCGAACGACGTAAACTTAGGTCCGCCCACTGTGGAGAAAATGACCGAATGGACCTCCGAAGGGTTCTTCTCCGAGCTTGACACCCCTTCCAACAAGTTGCGAGGGAGGTATTGGCGCATGAAGCGAATAAATTCTCTTATGCATCGATCACCGCCAGTCGTTCAGCCCGTTGCAACTGTATTTCAGGATTCTAGGTTTCCTGGAGCATTCTCGATGTCATTTTCCTTTAATGGAGAGGTCCTTGCCCTCTGGATTGGGGAATCAATCCAATGGTTTGACTTTTCAAGCGGCCTCCACTATTCATTGCCTATACAGAGAAAGCCGCGAAATTGGACGCTGGGAGTAGAACGATGTGTGTTTGAAGGTCAGCATGGGCTCATCTTAGTAGGTAACTTTAGGTGCGTATGCTGCTGCCTATGAAGGCTCTTTTCCATGCTAAATTTTACGGATACTTCAAATAGCTCCGACATTCGAGTAGATGTAATTTTCGTCCCCCTTACATCCTCCGAAAATAAAGTGACTCAGCCAGCACGACGCATATACTCGATGGGAAAAAGAAAATTAGCCAGCCTGTCCAATGATCCAAGTCTGCTCTGCGGCCGGTTTCTGGTGATGGAGGACAACAAGGGCCTAACACCATCATACTTCACTAGGATCGTTGATTTAGCGACAGGCAAAACCTACTCGTTGATGACCATGGTAGGTGTACCGCCGTTGTACAGCTCTTATACGACATAACCGATGACGAAAATATTCTAGGCCCCTCTCATTCATATAAGGATATGGAAAGACAGTCTCGTCACCATTGAGAATGGCTCTCCTTGTGTCTATCCCCTTTCCGAGCTCCATGATTCGCCAGATGCGGCTCCAAGAGAGCAAAATACACCATCAACCAGTTCATGGACTGAAGAGGATGGCTTCTTTTGTGCCGCCATATCCCAATCCCCAATTTTTGATGATACAACTAGGGAGCACGCCTTCTCCACTTGGGCCGACCCTCAGACCTGGGAAAGCCCTGCAGCGGAAACTTACAGCTCACAGTTATATGCCATTCCCCCGACTACGGAGACTGTTAGTTCCGTTCCGACTCAACTTGATGCCCTGCCCAGTGATGCTCGTCCATTGTGGGCGCCCATTACCCCGCTCTTGCCTTCTATTGCCAACGCTTCCGCACAAGAAATTTCTAATCAATTTCGGCATTCTATACCACAATGGGTGGTCTCCCCTCCCGGAACGGGGAGTACGGAGGGAGGCGAGGTAACAGGTGGTTTCAATATCGTACCGGACATCCAGCCTGTCTCTGAAATCGTGATTCGCTCGCGTCAGCTGGACTCCCACCAAGGTCTAACAAGGCTGAGTCATTTCAGCGATCCTTCCCAGTCAGACTATTTCATTCTTTCCCGCCGAACGCGTGGGAGAAGCCCGAAGCTTGTTCATGAGCCTCTCATGTTACGTTTGAACAAAGGAGACTCGTCTACCCCATCAGGACTGAACATGGACTCTTCGTCGAGCTTGCCAGTGGGGGCAGAGCTTTGGAAATTTGATGCGGGCTACACGATCAGCTCAGAGTGGAATGAAATCTCGGGTAGGATCTGTGTTTTTGTGCCCGGAGCGAATCAATCCCTGGTGTCGCCGGGTCGCACGTATACTATCACTCTATATGAGTTTTGC